CCATTTTTCCGCCCCTGACATGTGGTCCGTGGCCATTTTCCGCCCCTGACACATGGTCCACGGCCATTTTCCACCCCTGACACGTGGTCGTAGGGAGGGGTACTCTCCCTCCAAGCAATAGCCGCCTCCCGGTCCTCCACGCCGGAACAGATTAATAGTAATGACATTGAACCTTATGGGGAAATTTGCTTCGGGTTGCGACCAATTCGGGATGCGACCAGAGTCACGGAACGAATTAAGGTTGTAAACCAAGGTTCCACTGTACTAATATTTCTTCCATTATGATTCTTGCATAAAAATGTAGGTTTTTGTAGAACATAGAAAAACAGGGTGTTGCAATGTTTGTATGTAGCAATAAGTCAAGGGGGTAAGATGAAACAGGAAAAATATTAGTTTTTTAACACTTATATTTAGCTTCGTCAATATTTTTCTAGTGGATTAATCAGCTAGTTTGAAAAGCATAAGGGATTATTTCTCTTAATTTTACAATAAGCATATATTGTATTTAGGTTGGCTTCATAATATACAAATATAGGTAGAGATGTGAGATCATATTGGGTATAATTAGAGTTTTATCAATTTTTTAAAAAAAATTCATAGGTAGCAAAGTGTACAAATCAACTATTAATTTGTTATTTATGTGGATATATTGGGAACTAGCATTAAAATCAGGACATCTCTGATTCAAATGTATTTTATTTGTGTGAGCTTACTGAATTATTTTAGGCAAGTCACTCTTCAGTTCCAAATCAGAAATTTTGGGATTAGATTATTCATACATTTTCAATCAGGTGCCAAAAAAAAAGTTAAGGTTGACCCTCGTTGCAGTGTGAATGGAAGATAATTAGGAAAACCCAGGACTGTATGTTAGACTAAAAAGTAACAAAAACCTTGGAAGAATGCAATAGCAACACATCATATTGTTGTCAAGAAAACTACATGGACTTGACCATGAAGTCACCAGAGGTGAGCTCAACAGCCTTTACCTTTGGCTTTAATTGCATTAAAATAATGTAAATGAAATGTTTCTAGATCTTTTATATGATTTGCTTTCATATGAAAGCAGAAGATCGGCAGTTTAATAGAACAATTAAACAATTACAATTAAAACAGGGAGGTTTTATTAGTTGTTCCCATCTTTAGAGCACATTCACTATTCGCTATTTTAAAACTTTTGGAAGTAAATTATGTTTCTTCTGTTCTTGGAAGATCTACTATCCTAAACACTTAAATGTATGTCTCCTATGTTATACTTCTTCAGTGTCAGCATGTTAAACTGTGTGTATGCATGTTTACATATATGGAAAGAGAGAATTCTTTTTAAATCCCCAGAATAATAGAAGATGAATTGAGGTAAAAGATAATTTTGAAATATCAAAATGAATAATTACCATTTGCTTTTGTTACAATGGAGCTTTATATCATAAACATTCTGTGTGTGACTCTTTATTTGAGTTAGATACTACAGATGATTTTAAAATGCTGCTGGTTAGCTCAGAAAGTGAATTCATTGGAAAAACTATAAATTAGTAGTTAGGGATTTATGTAGTTGCTTTGTTCAGAAATGAGCTAGTTCAATTACCCTTTCCTTTCAGATGAAATATAGATGAAATATAGCACTGCTTCCTGTATTGACAATGTAGCTATTCAATATTAAAAGATTTCCAAAAGTTATATTACCTTTACTGTTGAACAGTCAGTTCAATTTTGTGTTGTTTCTGTCGCTTAAAAGAATCATTGCACGTTACATTAAAAAAATGAGGATGCCCCAAGCTTTTTAGAAATTATTGTTTTGGAGAATAACATAATAAGAATAAGAATGTAGGATCACATTTAAAAAAATCAGAGATAGGAATGCAGTCACAGAAAATACAGTAGCAGACAGTATTGAAATAAAACGATTATATTCCATCACATCTATACTTTAGTTTAGAATTTTCCTTAGCAAAATCTGAGGATATATAATCAGTTCCTTGAAAACATTGGTTTGTCTTCTGTTTCTATGAAAAATTAGTTTCTAGGGTATTATTTTCCAAGGAGGATGTTGCATAAGATATTATTAATCTTTTGTCTTGTGATTGTAGGCTGATCAGCTAATGTTTGCATTACATTTTGTGAAAGGAATGCATCCTGAACTTTTTCAAAACAATGTAAGTGATAGAAAAATGCTTACCCTTTAATTTTAATTGGCTATTAGTACAGAAAAATATGCACAGCTTTTCGTACTTGAATTTCTGATTTGTGTGTGTGTGTGGTGTCATTCAGCCTTTTTTGTATGCTTCCAAATGTAAACTGTACTTACACAGACTTTACATAAACTTCAGTGAGACTGTTAACAGTTTAAGGCAGTTTATTGAGATGTTTCACAGATCTGTCGTTTTCAATGTGATCCTAGAGTTAGTGATTAATATAAGATGAGGACTACAATTTTTAAAAAGTTACTGTTATTACAGTTACTGTTAATGTTGGTGCCAATGTAATGTTTTTCTGTAATCAAGGCTAATTGAACAAGAGGATGGGATAGAAAATAATGGATATGGATGCATGCCATTACTGCACCACTGAGCTATATATGATGTGTATATTTTACTTTCAGATTGAGGTCTAATATTTACCTATTTGTTTGTTTAATTGATTTAAACAATTTATATGACTGCCCATTTTGCTTCTGTGAATCTGAGCAGCTAACATTAACTTAAAACTATAACAATAATAAAACTTAAAAAATAAAGACTATAATGCACATTTATACAGTGCAGCCAAGGTCCCCAGAAAGATTTTAATTCAACAACCATACAGTCAGGCTCACCTAACATCCCATCTGAGTGCCTGAGGAAATAGTCAACTTTTTCAAGCTTTGGAGATCACCAATGGGATTGGAGCCATCTTAATCTTGGAGAGAACAGTTATGTGAATGTCTTATTGCAAAATGAGTCTCACTGTACCCAAAAAGATATTACAGGTAGTCCTCGACTTATGACCATTCATTGAGTGACTGTTTGAAGTTACAGCGGCGCTGAATGAAGGGACTTACAATCAGTGCCTGAAGTTACTGCTATTGCAGTGCCCCTGTGGTCACACGATAAAAATTTGGGTGCTTGGCAGCCCGCTACTTATAACTGCAGGGGTGCTTCAACTCTCCCTACCCCCATCTATGCCATTTTGGCCCCCTGCACTCCGTGGCCCCTGCCGCCTCAGCTGACCTTCACTGTCTTCTTGCTCTTGCTGCTGACCATGTATCCCGACCCTGGCACTTCACGAGCAGCTACTGGCTGCCCGAGGCTTTTTTCCCTAGATCACCCGTGGCAATTTCCTCATGAGACCTGGGGAAGATGGCCTCACATGGCCAGCAGCTGCCTTGTGAAGGGCCAGGGTGGGCACACCTCATCAGCAGTGGGAGCAAGAAGACAGCAAAGGTCAGCTGGGGTGGCAAAGTGCAGGATGGCAGGGGTCACGGAGTGCAGAGCAGCAAGGGTGGCTGGGCTGGGGCTTCCTGGGGTAGCAGCTTCACGCTGTGGTGCTAGACAATGGCTTCATGCCACAGTGCTGGGGCTTCCTGGGCAGCTGGGGCTTCCTGGGGCAGTGGCTTTGCACTGCGATGCCAGGCGGCAGCTTTGTGCCTTAGTGCTGGGGCTTCCTGGAGTAGCGGCTTCATGCTGTGGTGCTGGGCAGCAGCTTCATGCTGCGCTGCTGGGTGGCAGCTTCACACCATGGTGCTGGGACTTCCTGGGGTGGCTGAGGCTTCCTGGGGCAGCTGCTTTGCACTGCACTGCAGGGCTGGGCTGGGCTGGGCTGGGCTGGGCTGGGGCTGAGCTTCATGCTGTGAAGGACTTTGCACTGCAGCTCAGGGATTTCTTGCAGCCCCAGAGCCATGGTACGCCAGGAAGCCCCTAAGCTACAGTGTGGCAAACAGCACCAGAGCTGCACTGTTCTTGGGCTGCTTGCTGCCCTGCAAGGCAGGGTGCAGGACAGCCAAAAGGGCAGAAATGGAAGGGGGAGATAGGTGGAGGGAGTTGAAGAGGAGGCAGTCCCTTACCTTACCGACACTCAGAGCTGGGAAGGACTAAGCCTGGAATGGCTGGGATTGGGGTGGATGCTCACTTAACAACCCACGATTCTCGGTTAATGATGGCAATAGGGAGTGTCAGGATTGCTGTCGCTAAGCGATCCAGTCATGTGACCTCGCAATTTATGACTGCATCGCTTAGCAATGGAAATTCCAGTCCCAATTATAGTTGTAAGTCGACTACCTGTATTAACTGAAATAAATGCTGCTGTTGGTGAGGGGCAATTTGAAGTGGAACAATTGTAGGAGAGGAGATCAAAATTGGCACTTGTGCAGAACTCCAGAGTTTCAAGGCCCTTCCCACTTTTGCAGAATTCTAAGCATGTACACTTAGTCATATGTCCGTTTTCTCTTTGAAAAGAAAAACCTTTAGTTGTATTTTCAGAATTTCCATGTATACACATTATGCTTTAGCATTTTAAAATTTTTATTGTTTTCATAGGAGTGGGACACATTTACTGGTGTGATCATTGGAGATATGTTAAGAAAATCAGTAAGTCTCACTTAACACCTTTTCCTTCTCAGCACAAAGTACTATGTGGCAGTTTTCAGAGACAATGACAGAAAATTATACTCTACCATCATTATAACTCTTCAACAGAAACGTCTATATTTAATGTAATAGTCAGGATATATTTTACAAAAACCTGTGTAGTTTTAACTATTAATTAGAAGTTGTGTCAACAAAGCAGTGAAAATCAATGTTTGAATATTAATGTTTATTGGTTGATTTTATTTATTTATCAGTTTTGTTTAGAGCAAACCCCAGTATATTGTGGGAAATGTTGTCAGACAGCCACCTTTTTCTAGTGAAACAGAATGGTATTTGTCAACACATGCTCAGTATTTAAATGCCACATTATCTGCTCTGCCTGTGATATTTGACCCACAACAGTTCTTTCAGTCATAATAATCTGCTTGTGGTATCAGGAGAAGTTACATGAGACCTCTCATGGTTTTGTTCTTAGAGATAGGTGTTTATATTTACTGGGGGAGGGGGGCTTGGGGGAAAAAACTCACCACATTAGGCAAAACATGCAGGGCATGGCTTCTGGAATTCTTTACAACCCTTCAAAAATAGCTCTGTTCTAGGTTAATTAACAGGGAAGGGGGGTTAAAATGGAGAAATCAGGAACCTTCCAGGCTACTGTCCTTGCTTCTTCCATAGGGACATGTTGGGGGAGGTTTTGTCGTTTGTTTTTTTCCTCGGTTGCTTTTCTCCATAGTCTGCAGCCAAATCTGGTTGATTTTCAGCTTGATCTTTCTTTTGCTGGCTTCTCACCATCCCTTACCACCCCTCAAACAAATTTGGTCTTGCAAAAGAAATTTTCATGGTGAATGCTTAAGAGAGTCTTGGCATTTAAAATTTAATTATTGGGGCGGGGTTGGGGATGGGATGGGGTGGGTCTAGTTAAGAGAAGCTTAGACTTAAAAAAACAAAACAAAAGAATTATGAATAATGTATATTTGTTAGTATTGTCACTTTCTTAGCAACCAGAGTTTTGGCCTTAATGTTTACTGACAAATGTTAAGCCTGATAGATATATTTAGCAGAGATGTGACAACCTCCTTTGTGACAGCTGAGAGAACTTAAAAATGCCTGCTACATGACTGACCAGGTCATTTGTGATTGCCCTGGGGATGATAGTTGTCTCAACCAAATAATAATTTTTGCATCCTTATATTTATATGTCCTGTAACATTTGCAATAAAATTTATTTTTGTACTATTCAGGATTCCCCCAAAAACATCAGAGACCAGATTCCCCCTTGGATAGAACAGGAAAGAAGCTGGGCAGTGGCAACTCTTAAGGTATATTTTTAACTGAGTTTTTCTATAGAAAAATAATTTAGCTCTAATAAAAAAGACTTCTGTCTCCAAACTTCTGTGCACTGAAACTACATCCATGTAATAGTTTTGCCTTCTATAGTATCATCTTCTTTTTCAAGTGAATGATGCAGAAATTGATCATTTGGTAGGGTCAGTAACATGTTGGTGTGTAACAAGTAATTAGCTAATATTAAAAAATACCTCTATTCATAGTACTTCTCCTTGTTTCCCCAATATACAAATTATGTGAATTAAAAATATTATTTAAAATGTGACTTTAGGCCATATTTATAACCTTCATGTCATACTTCACTATGGTTATTTCACAGTTATTTCTACTTGAATTTTAAAACATTTGTCTGTTTTTTTCCCTGATCATATTAGTTTCCTTTTTAATTTTCCTTTTACCATGCTGAGCTAGATTCAAAACCAAAATCAACACTTTAAGCTTAGCCCAGATAGTAGGCAGCTAGAACAACTGATATATTATGTTATATCTCTGAATTCCTGGCCTCCACTAGTGTCCTAAATCTGTTCCTTATTGTTGACGTTTCAGAATGGTCTTTAAACAGTCTAATATAGACCAAATAATTTAGTTAGTAGAAATATTTCTCAAGACAACATTTTTGACCCACCTATAATTCCAGTATTCCAGGTTCTATACTGTTTTATGATGTTGATATTCTGGAAAATGTTGATGCCCTAAATGCACTTAAATGTTATGTTTCAATGAATTTAGAGTATTACTTGCAAATATTTTAATTATTTTATGCATTTAATATCTAATTCAGTAATGGAAACAAAATGAATACCCTGAAAATTAGCACACATGTTACAAGCTTAAGTAAATGTGCATTACACATTAATGCATTTGTGAAAATGTGACATTCCCAGGACTAGTCACATGGAAGAAACAATCATAATAATTATTTGACTTGTACCCATTTTAAGAATAGAATGAGGAATAACCCCTTGTACCCAACCTTTTTCTCCTTAGCTATTAGAAATAAATATGAGGAGCTTTTAGTGTTCCCTGAGCTTGGTTGTCTGCTTGTAGATGTTTCATTACCCAACTAGATAACATCACAGTGCTGCAGTGATGTCAAGTGGTTGTAATCGTCTGTTGGAATGCCAGAAAGAAGAAAGAGACCATCTATGCAACATCTTCCAACAAAATGGATACCCACACAACTTTATCAAAAAGTGCCTTATCACACAACTGGCTACAGCACAATCTGCAAAACCTATGAAAAGGATAACACTGCCATTTATCAAAAATATATCAGAGATAACCAATACACTGCTAAAACTATTTGGCATCACTGTAGCACACAAACCAATTAAGGCCCTCTGAAACATCTTAAGTAAACCAAAAGACTCAGTAGCCCAAGAAGAAAAAAACAGGAGTCATCTACAACATGTAGTGCAAGGACTGCGACAGCCACTATGTAAGACAGACAGGCAGAAGACTAGCAGAGCACCAACTAGCAGTCAGAAGACATGACAAAGACTCCTTAATTTCACAACACATGGACAGATTCAACCACAATTTCAACTGCAGAACTATTAGCATTTTAGATCAAGCCAAATCCAAAAACTCTAGGAAATTCCTGGAAGCTCGGCATTCAGACAGATCAGCCATCAGTAGACACATAGAGATAAATCACATTTACACACCATTCAAAAGAGACAATAAAAAAGCTAAGAAGGAAACAAAAAGAAGAGAACACATCTTCCCCAGCAACCAACTACCAGGTAAGCAGGCATTAACTTCAGACAAACCATGAAGTAGAAAACAATACCCTAGTCAAGGAACTACCAAGGAGAAAACAACACCCCCACCAACATTGGCAGGGCAAGCTACTGTATATAAACAGGGAGCAAACCCCATACTCACTAGCACTGATGATGTTATCTAGTTGGGTAATGAAACATCTGCAAGCAAAAACCAAGGTCAGAGAGCACCAAGGACTCTACAGTTCATCCCTGGCCTATGTATATTCTCTTCTATTCGAGATAATAAAAAACCTAGGAAAGAAACAAAAAGACCAGAACACATCCTCTCCAGCAGCCAACATTCAGATAAGAAAAGATCAACATCAGACAATCAGGCAGAAAATAATACCCTAATTAAGGAACTGCCAAGGAGAAAACCACACCTCCACCAACACTGGCAGAGTAAGCTACTGTATATAAACAGGGTGCAAACCCCACACTCACTCTCACTGAAGATGTTACATAGTTGGGTAATGAAACGTCTGCAAGCAAACAGCCAAGCTCAGAGAGAACCGAGAATTCCATATATAAATATACAATATGTAACCTCTTTTGAGATTAGATATAAAGACAGGGTGTAAATGTAATAGTTTAGTTTTATGAAAATGAGCTAGTTTAGCTTCCTCCAGGCTCCCACTGAGGTTTTGATTGGAATCCTACTTTCAACCCAAGAAACCCTTCTTCTGTATTCATGGCTTTACAATTGTTATGTTATCTCAACACATCAGGTACATTTATTAAGCCACATAAGAACCATTTCTTGAAAATTAATGAAAACAATTATTCCGGCATGGTTTACAGAATTGTGACAAATACATCGTGTGAGAATTACAGCTATATGACAGTTTATTCAAATTATTCCATATTCAGCTGTAAAAAATAGTTTTTTCCTCTTATATTAAAATCTGTACATTTGTTTTATAGATCTCTCTCCCAGCTTTGTATCAAATGGTTTGCTTTCAAGATGCACCATTGTGGCAGCCTTTCTCACGGAGTTCAGTGTGTGAACAAGATTTTCCATCTATTATTGGAAATAGAATCTCTCTATTTCAGCAGGTATTTCTGGATCTACAATTTTAGACAAGTATAAAATCATAGGCAAATTTTATGGGGGGAGATAAAAGAATATTTCCCCATTCTTTTTCTCGTACACTGCTGGATTTCATGTTTATTCAAAGCATGCATTTGCAGTTTTTATAGGATAATAAATCTTATAAAATACCAAAGGAAATGTGACTCAATTTGTTAAATGTGAGGCTACTGGAGTTGTAGATTCAAATCTTTCATTCTGCTGAGCCAAGGCAAGCAGTTTTAGATTCTTTTTTCTTTTGTGGAGGATCTATAACTCACCAATTGAATGTACAAGCCTTCCATATTAACATCCCTTATTCAGTCACTGGAATTCCCAGTTAAAACATTGAATGAGCCAGAGCTGAAAATGTGAATATTTTAAGTACTTGGCTTAACTGAGAACTGAAAGAGTAGGCTGATTTTTGCAACAAGCTCTGATCTCTGCAGTGCCATCCTGGCTGAAATGACATCAAGAGAGTTGTAAGGTTGGCCTTGTAAATTGCTGACTCTGGTTGTTGTTTAGTCGTTAAGTCGTGTCCGACTCTTCGTGACCCCATGAACCATATTGCGCCAGGCCTTCCTG